GAAATGCACGCAGAAAGTTTGTTTTCTTATGCTTAAATATTAACAAAAAAATGTATAAAGAGAAAAGTTTTATATTTCCCATCAGGATAAAAATTTATAAAATTGAATTCAGAATTTCTTTCTAACAAAAATCTCGCACTTAAAATTAAATTTCAACTTTGTGATTAAATAACTAAAACGGCCATTAATATACCAAATTAGATCAATATCAAATAAAGAGGGACTACTTTAATTTTTGATCACAGAGCATTGCTTCACTTAAAACAATAAAAGATTTGTTAAAAATAATAAGCTAAAAATAGACTGCTTTAAGAAAAGCTGAAATTAAAACCATTTGATCATGTGTCAATACCAAAAGTGGCTAAGCAAGTTGACTAATTAAAGGGCTTGTCAGCGCAACAGAGACAGCAGCAGTGAGTGTGAAAGGGGCGAGATAGATGTAGAAACAAAGCAAGTCAATTAGAGACGCTGTCAATAACAGAAATAAAAAAAGACGAGAACTTGAAAAAAAAGCAAGTCAAATGTGTTAAATGGTTAAAGGTTTTAAACAAAACATTTAAATATTAACAAACTTAAGTAAAGCGATAGAGTATGCGAGAGAAAAGAAGGGAGAGAGAGGGGGAGAGAAAGAGAGGGAGAGAGATAAAGAGAGAGAGAGAGAGAGAGAGAGAGGCAGAGAGAAAGAGAGAGAGAGAGAGACAGAGATCGAGTTGAAAGCACGGCAAAACAGAAACAGTTACAACTGTCAGCTAAAGGAGCCAAGTTAAGTAAAACGGACTTAAAGTTTTAACAAGCTCGCCCAAGTGTCTGTCGAGAGGGGTTCCTGTCAAGGAGTGCAGGGGCTTGGCGAGGGGCGTGTTGGGGTAGGGAATGCGCTGCCTGAAGGCGCGCCTGCAAGGCGCTAAGCTCCAAGGGGGGCAGACGCGTGGATGGTTTGTTGCTTCTTGCTATTTACTTATTTTGTTTGCATTTACTTAAATCGGATGAAAGGATTTGCTGCTTAGTGCGCGCGACTTTGTTTCTGCCGCCTCCCCTGCCCCTCTGTGCTCTACCTTTTCCCCAGCGCGCCCCCGCCCCCTGTTCAGACCAACCAATCCTTGACAACAATTTTAAATGAACTTGCTGCAAAACTGAGTAGCATTTCAATTGGGTGCCACCAAATGTTGTTAGGCCAACAAATTTTTCTCATCTTTATTTCTGGTTGCCTGTCTACAGATTTATGGTCATTGGCCCGGCCCAATGTGTGTAACAGATATAGAGCTGAGCTCTCAATAAAACCAACCCCCCAAACAGCCCCCGTTGCAGCCCTCATCAGCTGTCACCAAGGCAACAGTGGCTTTCAAGTAGCATAAGAAAAAAAAAGGGATCGTTCAGTCGCTTATAATAATGACAAAAGGCACCAACAACAACAAATCACCGGCTGTATATATTGTTACGTCGTGCTCCATTTGTAAAATCCTTTTTTTATGTAAATAAATTCTCAAGTCCATTTTCAACATATTTATGCGCCATTTTACACACACACACACACCGAACCCAATTCTGGCATAGCCTCTATAGACATTTCGCTTCTTTTTTTTGGAAATCCCATTAAGAGAATTTTTACCCAAATAAGAAAAATGAGCTTTCAGCGCATTAGAAAAGAAAATAATCAGCCCAAAAACCAACAGCCAAACAACCAACAACCAACAAATGACAATGGCTAAAGTGTAAGGTAAATTTACTGTTGACATTTCATTTTGTTCATGGAATTTGTCTGCCGTTTTTCTCGTTCCTACTCTATACTCTTTCCTTGGCTGTTTTTTTTTTTTTCAACTTTACCCTCTTTTTTTGGCGAGCGATATGCTTGACACCATTTTCTGTTGTTTCTAGCGGAAATACTCAAGTGTTGTTTGGGTCAATGACGAAAAAGGGGCTCTACGAATGGCTCTGCTCAAGTGTGCTGAACCGTAGAGTGTTAGCGGAAACGCTTGTTTAGCGACAGAGATGATACATTCAAGCACATAGACGATTTGGACTTGGACTGCTTAAGCCCAAGCTGAAATTGGGGTTAGTTAAACTATGGCCCCGAAACTGTTACTCCTGCGACGTTATGACAAAATATAAAATATTGTCTATCTCCGATTCCGAAACCCTATTTCTGCACTACTGATCACGAGCTTTAAAGGCTATGCGAAAAGCTTTTTAAGCCTAAAGCATTTTGCCATTTCATAAAGAACACCTCAAAGTTTTTTCAAAACCCAACTTTCGGCATTTCTTCTAGCCGCAAGCTATTCGCGGCATTTCGTGACCTTTGACAGGTCAAATTCCAGGCACTGACAGCCGCAACATAGAGCTCATAGAGCTGTGCACTTATCAGTCGAAATGGAAATTAATATTTAATACGAGCACATTTTTATTATTTTGAACACTCACCCAAAACACGCATCCCCCCCCCCCCCCCCCCCCCCCCCCCCCCCCCCCCTCTAACTTCGCCCCTCACCACCAACTGGTCCCTGGTGGCGGTTGCCGAGCTTTGAAATGTTAGACGCTGCTTAAGCCTCATTAATAAATAATGACGGGCATATTATGAAATGAAATGTAAGGGAAATAGCTGTAACAGAGAAAAAAGCGGATGGGAAAGTAGAGAAAAGTCGAGTAAAGGCATTTCTCGAAACCGACTTATGCTGCTGACATGCGCTCGATTTTTGCCATTTCTCAGTTATATTTTTTTCTTCATCTTGGTTTTCAATAATTTTTGCTGGCTGCAGTTTTTTTTTTTCTGCGGGGGCGTCTTTTCAATCGGGGCGCAGGGTGCCGGACGTGGCACAGCCACACGGCATTGATAAGCCAAAGAAAGTTTTGCTAGCCAGCAAAAATCCCCCAGAGATAGAGACAGCAAGAGGGCCGAGCAAGAGCGAGTGAGAGAAAGAGAGGGCAAAAATTTTTTTTTGGACAACTTGGTGGCTGTGGGATCTGGTTTTGGTCTGGTCGCTGCTTAAACGCAGACAAGCAAAACTTTTGGCCGCAAAACTTTTAACTGGTTGGTCGCCATATACTTGTTGCCGCCCAGCCAGCTGGGTGGTGCGGGGCTACTGGCTGGTGGCTGGTGGCTGTTGGCTGTTGGCGGTTCACGGCAACAATTCACGCAAGCAGCTGCTAAGACAAACATAAATTACATGCCATTGTCCAATGGTGCGCGTCCTGGGCCACAAAGTTGCCTCTAATGATGCCACATTCAGACGTCTGTGGGGCAAGCGGCATAAATTAGCCAAAAGCACAAATCCACATACACACAGACGCACGCATACGTATACGTATGTATGTATGTACAGACGCCGCTAGGTGGCGCACCAGTTCAGCTCAAATTAAATGTTAATTTCATGCCATCATAATCACCAGCGTCGCACAACCAACACACTCACAATCACACTCACACACACACATGACCTCATTAAGGCCAACCGCTGCCCAACAACGAACAACAACAATCAGAAATAAGTTAGAATGCAAAAAGTCAGAAGTTCTGGACATGTAGATACCCAATAAAATCTAGCAAGTCTTTAACTTATAATTTTAGCTTGCATGGCACTTAAATCTTATGAATATATTTAAACTTTACAATCTATATTTTAAAAAAAAAATGTATATATATTTTTGCTTATTGTCACAAACCTCGTGCACCGCCATCATAGCCCGTGCCAACTGTCATCTAGGGTATTATATCACGAACAATGCCGAGGCCATATAATAAAAAGCAACAAGGACCGACCACATATAGCGAAGCTACCAACCGTTGGGCAGCTGCAGAAGAGGGGCGTGGTAAGGGGCAGGAGGAAGAGGAGGAGGAGGAGGGGTTGACTGGGCGTCGTCTACGTCGCGGTCGCCACGCTTTGCAAATAAACTGTAAAAATGTTTACCGACAATTTTCTACACAATTTTACGCTATGTCGAAAGCGGGGCTTGCGGGGTGTTTGGCTAGGAATTTTAGCAAATTAGGGTGCGCATGAGGTCATATTAATGTGGTTAATTACAATAATTAGAAATTTAATTAAGGTGTGTGTGTGCGCGACCGAGTGTGTGAGTGTATCTGTGTGTGTGTGGCAGTACACGCTAAAAATCGAATTTACATGTTAAAAAGCTGTTAAAGAAAAACTGAAATGAACACATGCCATAAATACAAAAACAATATAATTTGTATTATGGGTTAGGTCTACCATCTGAAGCTAGGCTAGGGTGAGGTGTAAGGGTGGGTAAGGGGCTCCATCAAAAAGGGCTAACTGCTGGCCAGTTAGTCAGCCAGTTAAGTTGGCAACGCGACGAGCAACACAACTAACTGAGTTGTTGTGGTTAATGGGTTGTAGGTACCCTCTTTTTTTTTTTGGTAGCAAATTAGAACTATGCAAATGGAATTGCAGGTGGCGGGGATAGGTACAGGGGCTAGTCCCCTGTTAATGATGATAAATTTTGATTACATTTGTTGACTAAGAAACTAGCTAAAAGGTTGAGTTTAGAGTCCATGAAACTGCTCAGAACAAAAGGGCCAAAAAATGCATTATTATAACTATCTTCTAACTAATTACAAAGCAAAATATGAGCTTTAATATTATTATTTTCTTTGAAAAACTCGTTAGCTTAGAGTTTTTACATGTCATTTCTTCAAATACTTTCGTATTTTCCCTTAGAAACATACTATGCTATTTTCCTTTAGAAATATAAATAATCCTTATAAATATATGTTCCATTTCAAGGACTTCAATTAAATTCAAATGTGGCTATCATTTCTTATGGGCTACTTACCAACCGGCCAACTGCCTTTCGACTCAATTATAGCTTGGCTTTGATTCCACACAGACATTTGTTTAGTGGACGGTCGTATATCATATGCCGCGACCCCTTCAATTACCTGGTATTTGCCAGGCAAACCAATTACTGTGAGAAAGTGTGCCATCTCTCGCCCTCACTCTCTCTCCCCCTCTCTGTCTTTCTGCGTGTTTAGGGTTGTATTTATGTGTGCGTTGTTTCCATTTTATGGCCTGCTATGTGCGGAAATGTACCGCGCCAGAAACGTGCGTTTAATTAGAGTTTTTACATGTCATTGATTTGCCACAAACACACACATTTACACACACACACAGACATAAATAAAATAAAATATATTGGGGCGCTGCACCGCCCCGCTGCTTGTGGCATGCCACGCATTGCTAACATTTGTTTTTTTGTGCAATTTGATTTTGGCTGTGCCGAGTTTAGTTTATTATTATGTAATGAATATTTGCCAAGGCATGCGTCTTCCACTGTCTATGTGGGCGTGGCACATAGCTGAGACCAAGTGCTACGGGATGTAGATTTAATTTGCGTATGAAAAAATTCCTTTTGCCTGCCTTTTGAGAAGCGCCACCAACAGCAGCAGCAGCAGCAACGGCACCGGCAGCGAAATTCCCCAAACAAGTCGAGTTCTGAATGCGAGTCAGGCCACTGACTGCCTGTGCTGTTCTTGTTATACCCTGTTCGTATGGTATGTTGATTAAGAAAGGGTATTATGGATTTGTGCAGGCAGAAGTCAATCCTTGTCTCCATCCATCTCAAAAGACTATAAGAACTAGAGATCAAAGATTTTATTTAAGATTCTTTCAAAAGAAATACAGCAGATGTAAAGCTCTCCTATTAACTTACCGCATACTCCAATATATTCAATATTATTAAAGTTTTATTGCATAGTCATGTTTTGATGAAATGCGATATGAAAGCCATCAAAATTTTATTACATTAGCACATTAAATCCAATAGTTTTTCAAGATTCTATTCAATTCAATGTCTGCTTAGATCAGTTTGGAAGTGTATATTGGGATTTAGGGTATCTGCTAGTCAAGCACTTTTGGCTCAAGCACTTTTACTAGTTATCCTTGTAGTAGTTGTTGTTTTTTTTAGCTGTTTGTTTGGCTGTTCGTTTGGCTCTGTGTGTGTGCAGTTGTTTAGAGGATATGCATAAGAATGCCTTGCATTTCCGTTTCAGTTGTTGTTGCTGTTGTTGCTGTGATTTCCTATTTGCCTCGTTCGTTGCAGCAGCAGCAGCTCCTTTACCAGTGGCAAGTGGCATTGCTGTGCTGCGAGTTGATTTTATGCTTTGAGCAAAGTTTCGTTGCATATTTTAAGGCTCTTTTGGAAGCGACCAACCGCCCGTCCCACCCCCGGCCAGAAACCTCTACCTATCCCAACCCAGACTACAGTTATGTATGTACTGGAACGTAAAACAATCAACTGCGATTTGTTGTGGAGCAATTGCAAAATTATGCAGCGCCACACCCACAACTGCCTCCCAGCTCCTCACACAAAACAGCATATTTTCTCGTGCGCGGCGAGCGTTTGTCAGACGGACGGACGGACGGGCGGACCGTGGGGCCAGACAGACAAACAGTGGCGCATTTGAAATAATTTGATGTTTTTCATATTTATTAAATTCGCTCGTGGCTCTGTAGCTAGGCAAACAACAACGGCAACAACAATGGAAGACAAACTGCCGGCAAATCAATTACAGCTACCACTCAACAGCTACACACACACACTCACACACACACACACCTCTGTTCAGTGTGTGTTGCGCCGAGTTCGTTGTCCGTTTGCCGTTTGCATGTTTTGATTCGTATCTTTAATTAGAGCGCCGCTTGAATTGATGACGGCTCGAAGTCAGCGGCTTGTTTGTTGCCCATCACCAGGTAATTACCTGGCAGGAAATGCATATCCTATGCCCCCTCAGGAAAAAAAAACAGCACAAGGCTTAGTCCAACAAAAGTAGCTACAAAAAAAGGAGGAAACTTTTCGACAGCTTTTGGCGCAAATTTGTAACGTCAGGTTTGCTCAATTTGTTAAGTCTAACCACCCCCAACGCCCGGCTCGCTCCCTGCTGCGCCTATCCGCAACTGCTTTTTGAGGTAGCCATCATCATAATCAAGCATCAGCTGCTGCTCCACTTGTTTGGGTCACATCAACAGCCAACATGTCAACCTCAAAAACCGCAAAGTTGGCAAACAAGTTTTCCAAAAGAAAAAGGAAATTCGGCCTCAGCTTCGATTGAAAATCAACGCACACACACACACACAGCATGCACACAACACACATGTCTGCGCACAGACACACATTTGTTTATTTGGCGTTGTGAAATTTAATAAAAGGCGCACAGTGGGCTGCAGCTGATTGAGAAATGCCAACTTGACATGGGTTACAAATCGAAAGTACGGGAATAGAATTGTGCGAGGTTTAGGGGCGGGAGGCTAGGCTGGATTTTCAATTTTGTAGAGACACAAAATATTTGTCATCAGATTGAGTTTTGTGTAGCTGTGTTTGTTTTCCAATTGATTTTTCATTTAAAAGTTTTTGCTTGGTCTGGCAACAGCAACAGCCACACAAATTGCCCAAAACAAAACTAATCGAATGCTGTAAGCAAATAATTCATATAGGTTAAGCACGTATTAGTCTAGTGCTTATTGACTATTAGATGCCCTTTGAAAAAATGTATCCTAAATACAAATCTTAAAGGTAAAACTAGGAGTTTATAAATAAAAGAAAACGAAAGAATGAGGAAATAAATATATATTAAGCAATAAAATAAAAGTTAAATGAATAAATAATAAATAACTCATATTAATATTTAATCTAATAAACATAAAATATATAAAAAAAAAACTCATTAATTCCCACATATTTCGTTTGAGAAACTTTTGAGTAAATTCAGTCAATTATTTATTTATCAATCGTCTTGCAATTTCATACCAATGTGCAACATTTGGTGGCAGCCCTGTTTATTGGTAATTTTTGCCTCAGCATCATTTTCAATTTTGGTTGTTGATAAGCATAAAAATCACCGAGTGTTTGGCTTTAAATTTGTATGTAAACAACTTGGTGACTTGCTGTCTCTTTCTGTCCCGCACTCACACCCTACCGCACACACACACCCTAACACAATTTCCTGAGCCACTCAACGCAATCACTTCAATGTCAAGCATCAGCAGAGCTGGGAAAAACAGCTACGCTCATCAGCATATCAATGGATGCCTCTGATTTTCTTCTGCTACTCTGTGTGTGTGTGTGTTTTTTTTTTTAATTTTATTTGTATTTTTTATGCTCTCGAATTTTAATTACAAAGTCGTCTGTTGCCGGCTCTTGTTAGCCGTTGTTTGCTGTTGTTATTGCGGCGTTTCTAATTTTACGCTAGACAAATTTTATATGACTGAATTATGATATGAACCGTGGCCCCGGGCTATGTTCCAGCCAGGTCCAAGTGGGCAGTTCGCTTTATAATATTCAACTTTAAATGGTTTCAAGCTGTGCTGCGTTTTTTTTATTTGTATACCCTCTAGCCAATTCTGAAAAATATAAACCTGAGTGAAACAATAATATATAGCTCAGGCTATCTATTCTTGTGAAATCAAAATTTATTTATTAAATTTTTATTTTGTAAACTGTTTAATTTATAACTATCCCATAAATTGATCGAGTATTTGGTATATATATTTATACTACATCATTAACACCAGAGTTTATAAGAACCAGGAATATCAAATAAGGTATGTAGATGGTAGAATGCCTTCTCCTTCATAGTTAAAAATAAAATACTTAAAAATTTCAGATGAATCTGACAAAACATGGCGAAATTATTAAAGGTTAATTTTAGTATCGAATTAAATAGGAAGGGGATTGTAAAGCTAGGGGCTATTTCTAGGGTATTTCTTAGGCATACGCAATTAACTGTCGCTTTTTATTTGTATTTTTTTTTAATTAAACCAAACGTTTAAAGCTAGGAACACAAATCAAAGCCTACGCATACACCAAGTAGGCCGGAATTTATGCTAAGCATATGCCCGGCCAGACTTTGGAATAATGCTTGGTAATGACAAGGACCTCAGCGAAGCTGAAGCAATGCCAGAACAAAACGCGGGGCAGGGTCAGGAGTATGAGCTTAGAACGCAGCCATCCAAAAAGGACAACAAGCTTTATTAATGTTTTATGTGTATTGTGTGTTGCATACTAAGTAGCAGCAAGAGGGGGGGACAGTGTTTTACGACGGTCGGAGATAATAGAAGAGGGGAGCAGTGGTGGTGTAGAGGAGCGTGCTGTCCTGACAATGTCAATTGAAAATGTTTTGGCGAGCGAGTCAATAAGTGGGGCTAAATAAAACTAATTAGTTCCAATGAGCAAACAGAAGCGAGCACCTGGGATAGCGCTGCACTAGAGAAGATGAGAAAGACAAGCATTTTTAATTAAATGAGTAGAGTGCGGCTCAGCGGGAGTTGGAGTTGAGGAGAGGGAGTGGGAGTGGGAGGCAGGTGGGTAGCAAGTGACAATAAAACAAATCCAGGCAAACAAAGTATGCAATGAAGAGACTGCAATTAAAATTCAAATAACATGCCAGGCGCCAAAGTGCTCGACGATTCTAAGAAAACCGCCAAAAACACACACACACGTGCCATGAATCACACACACACAGACACACACAATCACACACACATTCGCGAAGCAAATGTAATAAAGCTTTGGCTGGCATCCATTTCCAACTTGGCCGCATGTAGCATACTTTTCCGGGCCACCCGACGCATATTGCGTTGGCCTGCGGTGACGGTGCGTGTGCGTTGGGCGCGCATTTGCCTCGCACACACACACACACACACACACACACACACCCTCGCTTCCCTTTGTTGCCACGCAAAACATCATCATATTCATTATTATGACAGTTGTTGTCACAATTAAAACAATAACAAAAACAAAAGTCGTAAGTTTACATGGTAATTAAATATTTTAATATGCCTGCACTCGGTCGTCGTCGTCGCCCCCTCCCGCCCGTGTGTACGGGCCGCACACCTCGCGCCTGCATTGCTCATTTTGGGGTTTTTTGGTTTTTGGCGTCTGCGGTGCGAGGCAGCCGGCGCCAAAGACAGGCACCACTGTAAGTGGGCCTGGTGGAGCGCCTGTTGGTGGTCGTAATGATGGCAACAGTGGTTGCAAATTGCCAACCACCCAGCACAGCTGTACGAGGACGTTGTCTTCTACTCTCTCTCACTCTCTCCCCTTAGGGCTGACAGCAAACGCAACAAAATTATTGCCATTGTGTCACAGTTGCTGCGTTAAATTTATTTATTTTTTGGTTATACACTGCAAACAATTGTTTATAAAGTTTTTCATAAACTAATTTGGGGTCTCACAAAGTCAAAAGATAAATGCAGTCTTATAAAAAAATAAAGGGGTAACTTGTCGGCGAGAAGCTTGCATTGTCAAAAGCTTTGCAAATCTGACCTCAGTTTGAGCGGGAGAAGCGCAGCGTTTAGCTCTGGAATAATTTAAAAGCGTAGAGCAATGGGTATTAAGCCTGGAAATCATGCTGCTTTTCAACTTAAGATATCAGAAAATATGGTAATGGAATAAACGTCTTATGGAAGATTTTGAATGAAAACAGCATTTCCGAATGTCTCTACAGTGAAATATTCATGGATAATACCATATTTTACATACAATTCGAATTTTCTAACGATTTTATATTTTGGCTTAACTCAAATTCAAACTTACACAAACGTTTAGCTCAGTGTAATTTTAATTTTCTAATTGTCAAAGTTGTGTGTGGTACTCACATATTTTTTCCACACACACGCAGAGACACGCACACACCGCAGTCGTGTGGCATCTTGTAAGTGATTTTCATCTATTCAACTGTTGCTCAAGTTTTCAATGTGAGTGTTTGTTTGCGTGTGTGTGTAAGCGGGTATAAGCGTATAAGGAGCACTGTTGAAACGGGTTGGCTTAGCAAGGGGCGGG